CATATGCCCGCCACCTGCAGGTGCCTGGTCTCTGTCGGCGTCAATGGAGTCAAGTTTAGTTCTGTCAAATCTATATGCGCCAGAGACACTCCCGCACACCTCTCTGCAGGCCCTCGCCCGACCCTACTGGAGAGGTATTTAAAACTAACCACTAATGTGGGAGAATACAAATGCGCCCGGTTACCCTCAATAATCTCGGCCGCGAAATTCGAAAACTATGTTTTCTCCACCGAACGTGGCGAACACGTATCATATGTAACGAATACAATTTATTGCGTACTAGCCTTACATGACTGAATTATCTGTCGAAGATTTACCATAAATGTATGAAATTGCAGTTTCCTTACCTGCCAAAAGTCCTTCTGATTACTTTAAAGCAAAAGGTGAAAGAGAAATTGCTTTCAAGAAATTAAATTACGTTTACCTTTAGTAACCGTTCGGCAGTAAAAATGTTACAAATTAAAATTATCATTGCAAAATCAACTTATACTTGTTTTAACTAAATAAGCATAAACAAGGAGAAAATAAGTATTAAATGTATATTTCGAGGTTTATTTTTCAAAAACACGTTAAATCACAGAGCTGCGTCGTGCATTGAATTACCTTTGAAAGTAACGAAGCTGCAGTACTAAATGCTAATGCAGCGCGACCAGGTGGTTACCTTTGAGTTGGCGGTAATGCGGAATTTGTAATGCGTAATATGTTAACCATGTTATATAATGTTATGAACGTTTATATATGCGTTTAATATTTAGCTGTTTTCAACCAAAACAAGAAAATAATTAGAAGAAGCTAGTATTTTTTGTCGATTTTACTTCACCAATAACTAACAAAACTATTCATCAAATTGGATAAGGACGAAATTATTAAAAGTTTATACTTTTTCTTTGTATAGAATAGAATATATATTACGCAAGAATAATGTTGCCTCTTTATTAAGACTTTACTGTAAATTGGTCTAGAGTTCTGCATTTAATTATACGCAAGAGTATTCCTTTGCCGGAATGCATATAAAATATGTTAGGTATAATAGAAAGTAATTTATATGTTAATGTGCAGTTGTAACATTAATAAAACTTATTTAATATACCTGTAAATTACAGAAGAACATGCTTACGTTACCGTGGAATTCCACTGCTGTGATACTTGTACTGATGATTCTGTTTTGTCAGTCTATGAATGAGATTACAAGTTTGTATAAAAGTGTGTTGATAGTGAAAACCCACAATTGTATAACCCGCATACGTTCTTCCACTTATTTCATTTATGGCTTCCCAGCGACTTATGACCATTCGTTAGTGTTTTTAGTTAGAAAACTTCGTGAAATGCGTTTCCGAACTACGTAATTTAAGTTTTTGTCATTTGGAACTTTTGGTCAACTTAACACTAATTATAATGATAAAATAAATGGAAACTTCAGCAACCTAGCAATCTATTCGCCATCAGTCATCTACTCCTAAAGATATATATTTTTAGATGCAATAAATATCTGTTGTAGACCGCTGTAACAAAACAAACAAGTCCTCCAATTTAAGTTCACAAAAGAGCAAATCAATCATTCACGTTGGTACAGCCTATTGACTTATGGACTTTGTTGAAGCTCATTTTTTTATTTTCAAAATTTATGGTTACCATGTTATTTTGTTAAGGAATTAAACTAGTTAGTCCTTTATTTAGTTTCATCTTTAAAACGAAGACATTTCGTTTCATTCAACATTTAGCTACAATTAACTTGCCCTAAATTTCCTTGACAAAAAATAGTGCATATTTGCTTAGCTTCTAAACTTGTTTATCGTTTGTTTTGAACATAACTGTATTTTTAAAACCCCTTTGTAATACTTGGCTTGCGTGAGATATTGAAATAAATGTCATGTAAATTCCCACACGAAATTAACCTACTCTAATTATCTAGAGTTTGCATGCTACGACATGAATTTTAAAAATTAGGACATTTCTTTTTGCGAAATAACAGCTATTAACTTAACAATATGGTATAACTTTGATTGTAAACAAATTGTACAATTTATTGATGTTCTTAATTTAAAAATTGTATTTTCCTTGACAGTATCAATTTACTTTGAATACGATTTGAATATTGAATATCTAATTGGTAACATTATCGTTAATCAGTAGGAAATATAAGTATCTCGGATGTACTTTTTTCATTAAAACGTTAAACATCGAGTATAAAATAAAAATAATATGTAATATGAGCGAGTTTTTTGAACACAATTGTTTTATTCGGATTTTTCATATTAGATTAGTGGAAAAAAGGGTTAAATGTTTATCGAACAGCAAAGAACTGTCTAGTATTCGTGATTTGAGCGTGACATAACAATGGTGATAACGAATTAAACTGTGATTAGGTAAGTAATTAGGTGTGTTACTGACGTGTTACCATCACATACGATAAGATAAAAACGCAGGATTAGAATTTTCTTCTTCAATTAGCATAGTCCACACATGAAATAAAATTAGCTTATCAGCTACTCCAAATCTGTCAGGCAACTACTGGATACGTAACTGTTAAACACCAAATTACAACAATGTCATAAATTTAAATATATTGCAAGCAAGCTGTTGCCCGCAACTTCGTGTACGCAATGGTAAGATAAAAAAAAGTAGCCTATCATATGCCCGGCTATGTCAGCTATCCTCCAGTGAAAGTCTGGTCAAAATCGGCCCAGCCGATGCGGAGATAAATTATTCTTCACATGTTTAATCTAAACTCTTACTGACATCTTTTTTAAATGAAAAGTATTATTCATGTTTATTATCATAGACGATACTTCAACAGTCTTCCACAAGCGGGGAGTTTTTAGCTGCCAAGCCCTCTTATTTACTTCACATGTCACTTCAATGTCTTTTTCATATCAATTATTAACTCTAATCCGTTAACGTAATCAGTGTTAATCTTTTTTATCAATCAAAGCTAAATTCGATAGTACTTGAGTATTATCGAAATAATCTTTGCTTAAGCTCACTTAATCTTTAAATATTTCAACGCGTGATATTACAATTTTGATTTCATGTTGTTGGTGATTTGATGCATGCCTTTCGATGGTTTACGTAAAATAATTGATTATTACTTTCAAATTGCTATCAAATTGTTTTTTTTGCTTCATCTTGTAAATAAGATAAGCGATAAGTAATTAAGAAATAATCAAAGCAGTTTAATGAAATATAATGTGCGTAGGCAATTTATCTGGGAGTTTAATTGTACAGTCCTCAGTTTTGCAAAATTTTAACTGTACGGTAATTCCTTAAAAACAGTGCAATAAAATCTGTATATGTGTAACTGGCTTTAGGGGGATACACATCGTGTTGTATAAAGTATACTTTACCTTCAATTCCGAAAACTTTGTCAGTATAATAGCGGCTTCCTGCCTTTACCTGTACAATATTACGAAAACGCTGGCTTCAGATATTAATATAACATAGACGGGAACAGTTTAATGCTAGTTCAGATTTCGCGGGCCGCAGTCAAGCGGGTAATAGCTCACAAGTTTGGAACTATAAGCCTCGATATGGCATTGGCTAAACTACGTCTGTTATTAATTTAATTTGACTTACTAATCACTTTGATCCATTAAAATCGATTAAAGTTATTAAATTATCTATGAGTTGTTAAATTGCTTTAACCATTTTTTTGCAAGTAACGTAGACAAAGCAAAATGTTATTGAGACGTTGCGTTTAATTGTTTTATGAACAACTTTTCGATTAAAATGATACAAGACACTTAAAAGTTTTGTATGCAAAAGGATTACTGTCAGTGTGTAGGTATGTCAGGAATAGTGTACTCAACAAATCGCGCGATTTAGATCAGTTACAATTTAGCATGAAGAAAGTTTTAGTATTAACAATATGCATCATTTTATATATGAAATAAACCACTTAATTAAGTATTATTTATTTGGAGCACGCTGTCTAGCACAGATCCAAAGAGCAAGAGAGGAAAGATAAAGAAAGAGCGAGACAGATACATTAGAAGGAAACGTTTAGAAATGAGTTTCATATTAGATACAGTATTACCATTGTATAGTACTGAACTCTTTGTGTCTCCTTATTATCTTATACCTTTAGGCACGTGCACCTACTTTGTCTTATCGTACTTTTTTAAATACATGTCTCTGTTTTTACAAAGAACACGGGAGATGTTAAAACGTGTTACGGGAGACGAAATAATCGGTTAGAATAACTCTATGTATGTATGGTAAGATAAAACCGTCGAACGATGTAAATAGGAAGTTATAAAACACTTTGGTCTGTAAAAACACTATAATTATGAAGACATTGGATAAGATTCGCTTATATCTAATTCCTGGTTAAACTACTTATACTTTGTATGTAAAATAAACTAATTGTGTTTATTTATAAATCAAATTAAATCTGTTTTTCTTTTCATTGTTATTTATGCAAGATTACAAAAAATACACATTTCTTGGATTTGAATATATCAATAATTATAGGAATGATTGTAAAAAAATATTACAGATTATGGTGAATTATCTTGTACGGCAACTGAAAACAAAACTGGTTTCTAACTTTAGAATCCTTCTAAAATCAAGCGATCGCAATACAATGATAGCGACAATTCGACTTTTATGTATGGCTGATAAAGTGGAAGAGGTGTGTAACAAATCTTTTACTAACTTAATAAGTTACATATTAACTATCATTTATTTTTAATAATACCGGTAGTCAGTTTCGTCCTGATATTCGAAGGGCAATCTGATACGTTTGGAATATTCTTTAGCTCCCTGAAAATTCTACGATAGATCAATTACAGGTCACACATTTCCACGAATTTAAAACACTATTTATCCTTTACATTTTTGTATACAAATTTGATATGTATGTTCACTTACGGCGTATATGAAGACTGTTATCCTCATTATATTATTATCTATTTTAATGCCTTCGTTATCTCATTACCTATCATGATGTACGTCGTTACCCACCCACAAATTGATAGCACCAATATATATTCTACTGCCATTGCCAAAAAATCTGCATTTCTTGCTAAAGAGGAAGGCCAAATAGGCCTTTCATATTTAATATTGTTTACCAACATAAGCAGAAATGCGATTAATATTTGTGCTTGCAGTAGTTCTAGCTGGAGCACTGTCTCTACCGGCAAACCTGGGTGACTTGCCGGAACCCGGTGAACTCGCCTTTGTTCTCAATGAAGATGATTTTGAAGACTATTTAGATTCTTGGCTTGAGATTCAGCAGCGCACTAATGATAACGCAACACAGTTCGATGCTCGTAGCGGTAAATACTTTCCACTATTAACGACTACTAAGCAGCTATTACTTACGCCTATTTTTCTGATGGTGGCACCGCTAGTTTCAGACCCATTGGACCCATGAGATCTTCTAAAGCCACCGGAAAAATAGAAGTGAGCCACCGGAAAAATAGAATAATGTCTCACGAAATTTTAAACAATTTAATTTACAATTAAGCACTAATAAGCAGCTCCGTACAAAGTATAACTCTTGTTCTTTGTATTGCAACCATAAGTAAATACGGTAATCGTACAGGATGCAGATTCCGTGTCCGAGGCGATCTCGGTCAGCCGCAGCCGGTTTACATCCATCGTAACAACTACCTGACGCCTAATGGTAATTCCGGTGAGATTCGCCTCAACACGGGCGATCAAGTCATCATTGCGTGCACGGGATCTGGACGTACCATTCGACACCCAAATATTGCTAGAAACGTTAACGTTGGTGTAAGTAACTAGTTATAACTCAATTCCTTATTAGCGTTCTTGCTAAAAAAATCGCATCAAACTTTATGCATTTTTAAACTTTTATTTCGTCAACACTAAATGAATATCAGCATTAATTATAAGATGTCTAAACTAATTCCAATCATTTAATTTAACTGGTTTTAAACGAGCTTTCAGCGGCATTTCTTTGAAAGATAAACAAACTCATTTGAATTGCTTGCTGCAATCATAATGCTTGGAACAGTGTAACTTTCACAATCATAATATTTTTTGTAGACTGCCCGATGTGTCAATAACAATCTAGTTTCTGGATCTGGTTGGTTGAACGGTAATGGAGCTTTTGGCCAATTGACTTGCTCAAGTCATTCTCATCACGAGGCACAAGGCACAAACCAACGTTGTTTTAACAACAATTTGGTTATCAGGTAACATTAAAGTTAAAGTGTTGCATAAGAAAACAATAACAGCAACGAAGAGTAAAAATTTCTGTATACTCATATTTGTTCTACTTTTAGAGTCGGTTTTATCGTAAACAACGTTTTCTACCCTCTTTATTGGTCTTGCTTTGACCAGAGGCGTTTGGAAGTTTTGTACGTTTGGTACGATCAGAGGGTTACGAACGCTGTTCATCAAACCGGAGTGGATAGACCTAGCTGGATGGGTACGTTATTTCATAACATTCCAATCTAATGTCTAAAATCGGTTTGTGTTCTTGCGCTAAAGGAGGTGAGAATGTTAAAGATAAATCTAGAACTTGAATCGAGGTTATAACCTTGACTTAAATCATAATCGTAGCGGGAACATGAATTAAAAGCAAAATGTTTTAACAGTTTATAAGAACATACATTTTACTTATCAGTATTGATTATACTATATCTTTTAGTACGTAATAAGTAGCGGGAATTTCAACCGGACAAATCGGTATAACTAATTAGTCTGTTATGATATTAAATTTTAGCTGGCAGCTTCTTCCCTGGCGTCGACGTAAACAACAGATACACACAAGTTCAACAGAAACTTTCTATTGCTCGCGTTGTTGGCAACGCTCTGGCCGATAGATACGTTACCAGCCACCAGTTCTTAGCGCGTGGTCACCTCGCCGCCAAGAGTGATTTCGTGTTCGCGACCGGCCAGCGCGCTACTTTCTACTTCATCAACTGCGCTCCGCAGTGGCAACCATTCAATGCTGGAAATTGGAACAATCTTGAGCAGGTCACTAAATTGCGCTTAATTTCAAAGATCATAATCATTTTATCTGGGTTAATTAGTCAAATTCAGATATATCTTTAGTAACCTGTACTCAAGTTTTCAAATAATTTGAAAGATATTGTAAAAATAGGACCTGCGTGCTCGCATCGGAGCTGCTGGTTACAACACAGTCATCTACACGGGGACATTCGGAGTGACGCAATTGCGAAACGCTAACAACCGCTTCGTCGATATCTACCTTCACAATAACAACCAGATTCCGGTTCCCCAGTACTTCTACAAGGTTAGTGAGCAGATGATTTAATTCTTTTTCGATCAAAAGATTTCGATCGAAATAATCTGTAATTACTTATATTTTTTGTATCAAGGTGGCCTACGATTCATCGCGACGTCTGGGCACCGCTTTCATAAGCATCAACAACCCACACTACACCCTGGCGGAGGCTCGCAACCTTCAGTTCTGTACCGACCGCTGCCGCAACAACAACGCCTTCAATTGGCTCAGGTGGCGGCCCGACCGCGTTGATCTTGGCTACAGTTTCTGTTGCACCATCGCTGATTTCAGAAGACGTATCGGACATCTACCGTCGTTTACTGTTAACGGACTCTTGACATAAACGGCGCATATAAAGATGACAGAAAATAAAGATAATTGCAATTAAATGTGTTTATTTATTAATTTTTAAATATTGAGTACGTAAGTACAAGTATGTATGTACTTCTTGTTCATATTTTTGCTCTCGCCCAATACTCCGTCCGCGTGGAATTTTAAAAATTAGCCTATATCTTCTTACAGACTTTGTTCTACATATATGTAAACCAAATTTCATCGATATCCATTTAGACGAGCAGTTTTATCGGTAAACTCTACATCTATCCATCCATCCATTTTTACTTTCACATTTATATTATAGTAAGATTGAGGTAATAAATGAAAAAAAAAGACGCAATGTCTTTTAGTCATTCAGATTTTTTCTATTTCTCATCTTTAATTTTTACTGATTTAATTACCTCATAAATACAAGACATTGGCATTATTAAACTTTTGTATACTATATTATTCTAATCTATAACGATAGATGATATCATGATTGATTTGGAATTAAGATTAATTTAAAACATTGAAATTAATACTTAATTTAATCTGTTATAAAACCTGAGTAAACGATTAAATAGCTAACGATTCAATATATTAAAGTGGATAATATTTATCACGGGTTTGTGTGTATTTCCTTTGTGACGTCCTATAACCGTATATTGCAATATCGTAAATTTCTACCGCTACTCTTCAACGAGAATGTATTCTCATCCCTTTTAGTCTCCTAGAAAAAAACAAGATAACAATATGTTTTGGTAAGCATGTGTCGGCCGCGGAAACTCACGTTAAATACGCGACCTTTTGATTCAACGTATCGTAATTCTCATAAATTGCTTGATTCTAGATCTAAATAAGACAAGTGAAATTTCCTAACAAACCAACAAGTACAAGTTGAACTGCGATTTGCAATGAGATTTAACGAATTCCAAAATGTGTAATGGATATTGAAACTAAAAGAAATAATTGAACAACAAAATATTTACTGAACATAACCCAATACCATCGGAACAGACGAGGTAAAATGACGCACAGTTAATATGGTCCTGGGTCACTACCATGGAATTTTTAAGATGGCATGTGCGTTTGTTAGAGGACTCGTTTCACGACTACTGCTATACTCAACATTTCTCTTCTTAGCGCCTCGCTAATCTGCCAGATATGGTTTCATCAAAGACTTATCTGAAAATATGCAGCTCTCGCGGTACCCTTATCAACTAATTAAACAAGCTTAATCAATTTTTATCGGGATTTACCCAAATGACTTCCCACTTACCTAGCAAGATATCATCACCGATATATA